CACACAACACATTCACCACCCACACACACACACACACACACACAACACACCACACACACACACACACACAAAACCAACTAGGAGACACCTACCCGATGTATACTGAGTAAAATACATGATTCTAAACGGGTACCTGTACTTCGTTTTTGCCACCATTGACTGACTCAACTATTTTTAAAAAATAGTTTGATTAATGAAGTCATTCGATGCTCACAAAGGAAGGGGGGCTGCTGAGTTCTCCAGTTTGCTAATCAACTGTACTAAGATGCTTGAACTGGTGCCATTAAGAGTTACTTTTTTATGCTTTCTCATTGACAGATGAGAAATGAATTAGATATAAATGGTATCGAAGTCTCTCCTGAGATGTGTGACGAAAAGTAACTTCCCTAGGTGGGATTGCACAGGTGTCAGTGTTATGGCATGTGCTGTTCTGTATGAAACTATGGAGTTAAAGCGAAGAAAGATCCACATCGTTACTCTTGGTAAATGGTCCTCTCTCATGAATAAACCACGAATATTGGAAACAAATGGAACAAGAAAAACATAGGACTGAGAGAAAAGCTAGTGTCCTGTGAAGTACGAACGAGAATGCGAGATACAAACTTCACTGGACTAATGGTACAACAAAACACCAGCGTAAGCGCTGTTAAAGGTGAGAAAAACGCCCATACTGTGTTCACTCTTATCGCTTTGATAGCACGGCTCTCTCGCATGACTCTGAGGTTAGGGGCTCATTCGTTCCCACCCACTTTAAAAAAAAAAAACCGTTTAGAAGACCCTAAATGTTTTCACCTGCATTCCAAGAGAGCATAATTTACTCATGCATGACCAAGAAAGAATTATTTCATATGCATGCCCAAATGGGGGGAAAGAGCATGATTTAATATGCATAACTAAAATAGTACAATTTCACATGCATGACTAAAAGAACATGATTACACATTCATGACCAAGAGAGAATGAGTCACATGCATTAACCAAGAAAGTATGATTTCACCTACATGACCAAACGAAGAGCATGATTTTTACCAGCACCACTAAAAGAGCATGAACGTACTTATATGACTAACGGAGTATGATTTACTTGCATAGTTCAACACAGAACAATAAATAGGTCATTCACATATCATAGTTTGAATATAAAAAAAATAACTAAACTTGTTTTCGTTTATATAAAGATTCTACCTGAGTATTAAGTTAACTCATTACAACTTGAGTGCGGTGAATTTAATAAAAAAAATTGTAAATAAAAAAAAAAGAGAAGTTGCTTGTTTAAGACTTCAGTGTTTGTATGATATTGTCTTTTTTATGTATTTAACGACGCAAAGGGTAGAGATGTGTATTACATAACTATAGCAACTGAATAAGATATGACGTGCATATTGTATATAAACTGAATATACATATATATATATAGATAAATAATATAATTATATATTATATATAATATCTATATATATATAATTAAATATATAAATATATAATATATATATATATAAATATATATATAGATATATAATATATATATAATATATATACATATATATATATATATAATTGATGCAAGACAATCACTGTGAGAAAGGACATTGAAAAAGCAAGGGCTTCGTGACTTCTCACTGGCCCCGCCTCTTCACTGACCGCGACTATGTCCTCACTCTCCCTGCTCCATGAGCTTTATCATACCTCGTCTTTAAACTATGTATGGTGTGTATGTACTCACCTATTTGTACTCACCTATTTGTGGTTGCAGGGGTCGAGTCACAGCTCCTGGCCCCGCCTCTTCGCTGATTGCTACTAGGTCCTCTCTCTCCCTGCCCCATGAGCTTTATCATACCTCGCCTTAAAACTATGTATGGTTCCCGCCTCCACTACTTCACTTTCTAGGCTATTCCACGGCGTGACTACTCTATGACTGAAGAAATACTTCCTAACATCCCTTTGATTCATCTGAGTCTTCAACTTCCAATTGTGACCTCTTGTGTCTGTGTCCCTTCTCTGGAACATCCTTTCCTTGTCCACCTTGTTTATTCCGCGCAGTATTTTATATGTCGTTATCATGTCTCCCCTGACCCTCCTGTCCTCCAGTGTCGTCAGGCCGATTTCCCTCAACCTTTCTTCGTAGGGCAATCCCCGAAGCTCTGGAACTAGTCTTGTTGCAAACCTTTGCACTCTCTCTAATTTCTTGACGTGCTTGACCAGGTGTGGATTCCAAACTGGTGCTGCATACTCCAGTATGGGCCTGACGTAGATGGTATACAGAGTCTTGAACGAATCCTTACTGAGGTATCGGAACGCTATCCGTAGGTTTGCCAGGCGCCCGTATGCTGCAGCAGTTATCTGATTGATGTGCGCCTCAGGAGATATGCTCGGTGTTATACTCACCCCCAGATCTTTTTCCTTGAGTGAGGTTTGCAGTCTTTGGCCATCTAAACTATATTGTGTCTGCGGTCTTCTTTGCCCTTCCCCAATCTTCATGACTTTGCATTTGGGAGGGTTAAATTCAAGGAGCCAGTTGCTGGACCAGGCTTGTAGCCTGTCCAGGTCACTTTGTAGTCCTGCCTGTTCCTCATCCGATTTGATTTTTCTCATTAACTTCGCATCATCTGCAAACAAGGACACTTCTGAGTCTATCCCTTCCGTTATGTCGTTCATATATACCAAGAACAGCACAGGTCCTAGGACTGACCCCTGCGGAACCCCGCTTGTCACAGGCGCCCACTCTGACACCTCGTCGCGTACCATGACTCGTTGTTGCCTCCCTGTCAGGTATTCTCTGATCCATTGCAGCGCCTTTCCTGTTATGTGTGCCTGATCCTCTAGCTTTTGCAGTAACGTCTTGTGAGGAACTGTGTCGAAGGCCTTCTTGCAGTCCAAAAATATGCAGTCGATCCACCCCTCTCTCTCTTGTCTTACTTCTGTCACCTTGTAATAAAACTCTAGTAGGTTTGTGACACAGGATTTTCCTTCCCTGAAACCGTGCTGGTTGTCAATTATACACTTGTTTCTTTCCACGTGCTCCACCACTCTCCTCCTGATGATCTTCTCCATGACCTTGCATACTATACACGTTAGTGATACAGGTCTGTAGTTTAGTGCCTCATGTCTGTTTCTCTTTTTTAAAAATTGGGACTACATTTGCCATTTTTCCATACCTCTGGGAGTTGCCCAGTTTCAAATGATGTGGTGAAGATCTTTGTTAATGGCTCACACAATATCTCTGCTCCCTCTTTAAGGACCCATGGAGAGATGTTGTCTGGTCCCACCATCTTTGAGGTGTCAAGTTCGCATAGCAGCTTCTTCACCTCCTCCTTGGTTATATGTACCTCATCCAGCACTTGCTGGTGTGCCCCCCTGTTCTGATTTCCCGGAATCTTACTGGTTTCCACTGTAAATACCTCTTTAAATCTTGTGTTGAGCTCCTGACATACCTTTCGGTCGTTTCTTGCGAACTCCCCATCACCCTTCCTCAGTCTGATTACCTTGTCCTTGACTGTTGTTTTCCTCCTGATGTGGCTGTACAACAGCTTCGGGTCAGTCTTTACTTTTGATGCTATGTCAATTTCATATTGTCTCTGAGCCTCCCTTCTTTTCTGTGCATATTCGTTTCTAGCTCTTCGGCTAATTTCTTTATTTTCCTGAGTTCTCTGTCTTCTGTACCTTTCCCATTCTCTAGTACACCTAGTTTTTGCCTCCCTACACCTTTGGGTGAACCAAGGACTCGTTCTGTTCTTCCCATTATTTCTGTTTCCCTTGGGAACAAACCTCTCCTCTGCCTCCTTACATTTTGTTGCCACATAGTCCATCATTTCTCGTACTGGTTTTCCTGTCAGTTCCCTCTCCCACTGAATGTCTTGAAGGAAGTTCCTCATGCCTGAGTAGCTCCCCCTTTTGTAGTTTGGTTTTTCCCAGCCTATTCCTGCTACTCTCTCCACTCGGAGCTCAACTATGTAGTCGAAGCACAGAACCACATGATCACTAGCTCCCAGGGGCCTTTCATACATGATACTCTCGATGTCTGAACTACTCAAGGTGAATACAAGGTCCAGTCTTGCTGGTTCATCCTCTCCTCTCTCTCTGGTAGTGTCGCTAACCTGTTGATGCATGAGGTTTTCCAGTACCACATCCATCATCTTGGCTCTCCATGTTTCGGGACCCCCATAGGGCTCCAGGTTTTCCCAGTCAATCACCTTGTGATTGAAATAACCCATAACTAGTAACTTTGCTCCCCCCATGTGTGCTCTCCTGGCCACCTCGGCTAGTGTGTTGATCATTGCTCTGTTGCTCTCATCGTATTCTTCTCTTGGCCTCCTGCAGTTCTGTGGTGGGTTGTACATTACTGCAATTATCACCTTATGTCCCTCAGACTGGATTGTTCCTACTAAGTAGTCCCTTTCGCCCGTGCCATCCATTCCTTCCATTTTCTCAAAACCCCCACTGGTTTTTAATGAACAGTGCAACTCCTCCTCCCCTCTCCTCCCTCTGTCTTTCCTGAGGATTTGATATCCGGATGGAAGATTGAATCTGTTATTATTTCTGGTGTTTGTGTGTTTGTGTGTGTGTGTGTGTGTGTGGTGTGTGTTTGTGTGTTTGTGTGTGTGTGTGTGTGTGTTGTGTGGTGTGTGTGTGTGTGTGTGTGTGTGTGTTGTGTGTGTGTGTGTGTGTGTGGTGGTGTGTGTGTTGTCTGTCTCTGTGTGTGTGTGTGTGAGTGGGCAAAACAACCACTTTGAAAGAATAGCAAAATTCCAGGCGCTTTCGCATTTAATTCATTGATAATGTGAAAAGTCACTAAAGCAATTGGAATTTCGCTATTCTTTCATAGTGGTTGTTTTGCCCAGTCTGATGTCACCTGTTTACTGTGATCTTATTGCATATATATGTGTGTGTGTGTATGTGTGTGTGTGTGTGTGTGTGTGTGTGTGTGTGTGTGTGTGTGTGTGTGTGTGTGTGTGTGTGTGTGTGTGTGTGTGTGTGTGACCCTCCTGACTCCTTCCCACAGCCCAGCAGGTTTTGCGCTTTCGTTTCCTAATCTTTCCTATTAGAATCCTCGTAGGTTAGAGGTAAAGCACTGGTCTTCCACCATCAGGGCCACAGTTCAAGTCTCCGTCCCTTTTTCTGTTCATACATTAACAGTCATTTGTTATGACTTAAACTGAGTTGATAGACTTTGAGGGAGGCAAGGATATATTTATTGTGAGAGCCTCAGGGCTGAGGGAAGGAGGTTCAGTTGGTGCAACTGACAGAGACGTTAAGAGTTCTTTTTCAAAATCTTTCCTGTTAGCAGCTTCATTACTAATCTATTAGGTGCTCGACCCGCAACCATAAGGGCCACGGTTCGAGCCTTTGGTCCATTTTTAGTACTATATACTTTGTTCCAAAGTTCTTAGGTTCGAGTATGTATGTATACACTCAGTGGCTACTACCTTCTAATTCTGGGTAGGGTTTCCCTTTGTCCCCAGAACAGCCCGAATTCTTCGTTGCATGGATTAAACAAGGTGCTTTTTCAAGTTATTTCTATAATACGATTCTCACACTCGTACTTACACCGGTCAATAACAATGCGGACCTTCTGTGTTTACTCGCAGGTCCAAAGAAATCACGGAATGTGCCGCCTGATGTGGGTATGTCGCATCATTATCGCATTTGTGAGTTTGGTGGCTTCGACTGCCTGAAGAAGGAGAACTTGGTAAGTAGAGAGAGGGAGAGAGAGAGAGAGAGAGAGAGAGAGAGAGAGAGAGAGAGAGAGAGAGAGAGAGAGAGAGAGAGAGAGAGAGAGAGAGAGAGAGAGAGAGAGAGAGAGAGAGAGATGAGAAATGAGAGATGGAGAAGAAGAAATTTCACAGCACTTTCTCCTGCAGGTGGACAGGAGAGCACACAACTGGTTGGTGCCTCTGGTCAAGAGTGTCGCCAACGCCTGCACCAAAATATTTCCATTACTTGGAAAATGTCCTGAGGCGCCACCGCTTGGGTCTCCATGGTAAGGTACCACGGAGACGTAAAATACCGTGCCTCCCTTGGAGTCTCCATGGTAAGGCACCACGTGGATCTCACGACCGTGCCTTCAACGCTTTTCCAACAACCTGTGATCCTTGCATTTGTGAAGCAGCCATGAATCATGTCACGTTGTCAGGATAGATCTGCGTCTACAATTTCGTTATTAACAGTGCCGACGGATTTGAGTTCCATTCAATTCGGAGTACAAACCCGAATTAAGTCAGAATCAAATTTGATTCGGAGTATATTGAAATGGAACTCACGTGTTCCCACTAGATCCGTGAGCGACCATCACGTAGCACATTGTAGCTGTAATTATTAGTAACACTGATGACAGATCTAGTGGAAATAATTTAATTACTGTGTTACAGTGCAAAACTTCAGTGTTAACATCAGCTGTCAGAGGGAGAACCTCACTGAAGGATACATACATTAGAATACATAATGAGTTTAACGTGTCACGATGAAGGACAGCAAAATAATATTTTTGAAACGAAGACTGAAGAAAAATCATGTTTACAATGTAATAGTGCTGCTAATCTCCTAGAATATTTTTTTTATTAAAAACAAGGGCAACTATGTTATCATACAGAAAGGGGAGGAACTTCATAAAGTTGCTGAACAGTGTAAGCATTATATTAACTATCTGTCATGATGAATGGTTTGAAAAACCGACAAGTTGAAGATTGAGACAATTATGCAACATATGGGAATCTTTATTCAGGAAACGTTTCGCCACACAGTGGCTTCATCAGTCCGATACAAAGTAGAAATGGTTTTTCAAACCATTCATCACAACTGTCTGACACTGCAGCATCATGGGATCTTGTTACAAAGAATTCTTCAACACTTGTCCAACCTTTGGAAGAAGACCTACTTCGACTAGTGGATGGTACCACTATGACCTCACCTCCTCCTGCTTCGCCTCACCTCACTACAGTATATAAGCCACGTCTACGGCCCTATGCTGTACATTCTACAAGATTGATGGACTGAACACATCGACTCCAGGCTGAGGGACTGATTACCTCAAACTCCTCCTCTCCTTACGCCTTTCTACTTTGTATCGGACTGATGAAGCCACTGTGTGGCGAAACGTTTCCTGAATAAAGATTCCCATATGTTGCATAATTGTCTCAATCTTCAAGTATCTGTCATACTGATGGTTGTGATAATCTTCGGAAAACATTCACATGGCGTTTGTCCTTGAAATTTGAGCTTGAGTGTCATGTAATGCAACTCACCCAAGCCTTAAAACATTTAAACTATCGGAAGTGGAACTTTAAATGTTCAGGCATTACTCCCATAACTACACCATTCTACCACTTACATAACTATTACGATGTAACTAAGTAATTGGCCTGCTTTAGTTAGGAATCATAGTCCACACATCTCGGTGTAAGAACTGTCAGAGAACTCTAGCGTCATGCAAAGCAGGAGGGGAAGATCAGGAGAAGGACACAGTGTCCTTCAGATACACTGAGGTAGTAAACACGATATCCCTGTCTTACAATGAGGCAAAAAGACAAAGATTCTTCGAGATGCATAGAGGGGAAAGGACAAGTCATCTAGAGATACAATGAGGTGGAGAAAGGTATCTTTGAATTACACCGAAGCGAAAGAATATATTCTTTCCCTAACATACACCCAAGTAGACGGACTAGGGATACCTTATATACTGAGTAGAAGAACAAGGTATCCTTGAGACACACCAAAGTCTTGGTCATATGGAATCTAGACAATACCAGCCCTGGTCCGGAGGGTTCCCGGGTACACTGCTAGCCTTCCACTGAATCATCGAGTTACAGTGTTAATAAATGTGAGGTTAGTAATAACGGAAGTACTTACAATGATAGAAGAAGCTGTAGTAGTTCCTAGTCTTTACAATAAGACACTTTTTTCCTAGATGAGAGAACTCTTCTCTCAGCTTTATGGACGGTTTCGCAGTTTAAATAATGAAGTGGGTTGGTTTCTACACAAAGGTTGATGAATACATTATCAAGGATAGTAGGCTGCAGCAGCGGCTAGTGGCAGTAGCAGTGAAAAGACATTCAGACAAAATTTTTATTGACATTTTATTTTTGTGATGTGTTTGTCTCGAGTAGGTCATGCAGCACAAGGATTGGAGGCTCCATTATTATTACAATCAAGGGGAAAGCGCTAAACCAGTAGGATTATAAGCGCCTGTTGGGTGGATGTGGAAGGCATTCAGGCTTAATTCAGGGAACTCGACTACAGATCCAATTCCCTAGATCAAAAGTCCCTCACCAGCATCATGGAACCTTCCTTGAGTGATGGAGGCTCCATCTACCACTCGCTAAACGCAGAACAAACACTACTAAACTGTAATTATCTAGTCCTTATACATCTGTGAAGAACCCAACCCAGTCCACTATTTCAACCTAATGCATAGACCGCCACGGAGACTAGACAGATCCAAACTCACTTAAGAGGCATTTCAATAGGGGTCCACACGAAGCTCAAAATGATAACTCCAGAAGCAGTTTTTTTTAGGCCAGGAAACAGAATATTCTCTTTCGGTTCAATCTGATCCATAGATCCAGAGTGATGATCAATCAGAAGTTACTGTCAGTATTATCTTAATGTCAACTCCAGCACTACGTATAACTGTGTCAGTATAAATGCTACAGTCGCTTATGTATAAATATAGGATTACATTGCTGAAATCTGGAATATGATAGGATTGTAAGTATGTGCATTTTATTTAAATAATATAATACATTACACAAAATATTACTAACTTCAGTAGCTGACTTTACCTTTTTACCTTGAAGTTACTGGGAAAAAATAACACTTCATCAAGCAGAATAAATAACTGTCTATTAGTGAAGTAAGTGGACCAATTTTATATTAATAGCTGCAGGTCACTTCACAGTCATAACCTTACCAGCCAACACTTTACACAGTTTACCTTAGGTTTTACTAATAATTTCATAAAATTGCAAAATAAATTATGTACATATTATCAGAGTCAAAACTGGAATATGATATTTTTAGGGTTAAGTTAAATCATTTTAATTTTTTTTTATAATCTCTTAAGATAGGGTCGCTAGGGTGTACTACTACTGCAAGTGTTGTCTAGAAAACACACGATAGTGCAATGAATTGAAAACAGTATTGCATTAGACTATTTCTAGGGCAAAGAGTTGTCTCGCTTCTTTTTGAAGGTGTAAAGTGTCCTGCATTTTCCCAATGAGTGAGGGAATGCTCATAATATTAACTTCTGAAGTGCACTGTCTTATATCCCTTAGAGATTGAAGGGGTGCTCGCGAAGGTATAATGTATCCTGTATCTTCTGAGATACAGAATCAGTTTTCTTAATGCCTCCAACTGGTTCTTCCCAGTACATGCTTTGCTGCTTCATTGTCAGGAATGTCACTGCCATAGACCAGCTAAAGCTTCCTGCATCCTGAAGCTTTTCTTTGTTGTATTGTTTGTATTTTATAACAATGTTTTATGTGTTGCCTTGATGTGCAGGTAACAAGTTGCGTATCCGAAATTTTCGAGAGCAAGACTGTTTACATGAAATATTAATTTGGATGTAAATAAAATATAAATGTAACGTCAGAACCTTTTTTAAAGAAACGTTTCCTAATAAACTGTTCTGGCATTACATGTGTCTTATTGGAGTTTGTTCAATATCTTCACAGATGTGGCTGAGAAAAAAGTTTTAGTAAGACTTTCGGGTTTAAAAGATAATGAATCTGATAACAAGTAGCAGATATTACAGTTGTTCATTGCTGATTACTCAGTGTTTTTAAGAGACTCAGGGAAAGATGCAGATGTTGGTGAAGGAATTTGAGAACGCGTTTGTTTACAAGAAGGAAGTTAAAAGGGAAGACAGGAAAGAGAAAGGAGTGATAGGTGAACCATAATACTGTAAATAAGGAGAGTGAATGAGTCTGCTAATAAGCCTATGAAACATAAAGTCAACCACAGAAAAAACGAGGTAAAGAAATAGTTGTGAAGATCTAAAAATAGGTTGGATAAATATATGAGTGGGTATGGGTGGGTGTGAGTTGGACCTGACTAGCTTGTGCTACTCGGTCTGATGCCGTGCTCCTTTCTTTAGTGGAAGTGACCTGACTAAGTGGGCCATTGGGCTAATCCGGGGGGAGGGGGGACATGGAATGCTTCGCATGGGCCAGTAGGCCTGCTACAGTGTTCCTTCTTACTTATGTTCTTATGCTTTTAATAGCAAGTATAGGAGTGTATCAGGGAAATATATCAGAATAGAGTGGTGGTCCACACTTTCATGAGTGTGATACCTAGCCAATGAATGTTTCAGCGAGGAGAAGTTTGGAGGCAGCAGAAACGTTATGTTTCAGGTGAATGTATGTAGTGAATATTATGTTGAAAATAAAATGTGAAGAAATTAGAAAATAGTGTGACGATATGTAAGGGATAATTCAGAAGGAAATGAGAAAGAGTTATTGAGATAGTTCGACCATTTAGAAATGATGTTTGATAAGCACAGTAGATTAGGTGAGTTTATAAATCTAGGGAAGAAAGGAGGTTGTAGTATGGAAACTCCAGCAGGAAGGAGGGTGTAAAGGAAGTTTTTTGTATGGAGAGCATTTGAGCACCTAGCAGGCATAAGAATTCATATATATATATATATATATAAAATTTTATATATATATATATATATATATATATATATATATATATATTTATATATATATATATATATTTTATATATATATATATTTAATATATATATATATATATATATATATATATATATATTATATATATTTTATATATATATGTTAAAATCTTATGTATGCACTTGTGTATATAATTGTAAAATACCAATTTGCTGTGGGAACATGTGTGCCTTACTATGCGATCCCGTAAATTTCTGTTACGACGTTTAGTAAATACATAACGTAAATGATGATCACATTTTTTCACTGACCTTATATTAAACACAAAAAATTACTTCACTGGGGGAAACCTCGACAAAACTTTTTTCATTTACTTGGCTTTTGTTTAAAAAATTTTAAATAAAGAGATAATGGAACCAAAATGCCCTTGTTTTTTATATAATAATCAGTGTGAAGCGCTAAGGCTGAAGGTGTTGCACAGTATCTGTGATTTAAATATATATATATATATATATATATTTATATATATTATATATATATATATATATATATATATACATTTTATATATATCAGATATATCAGATCACTTTTAGTTGTAGCTACACTGAGAGTAAAAGGTAGATGGGGTACAAGGGGGAAATAGAAGCATCAGGGAAGAGAGAGGTGAAGGTTTATAAACTAAAAGAGGAGGCAGTTAGGGTAAGATATAAACGCTATTGGAGGATGATGGGCTAATGAGAGCATAGGCAATGGGGTCGAAGAGGTTTTGGGGTAGGTTTAAAAATGTAGTGTTAGATTGTTCAGCAGAAGTTTGTGGTTACAGGAAAGTGGGTGCAGGAGGGAAGAGGAGCGATTGGTGGAATGATGATGTAAAGAGAGTAGTAAGGGGGAAAAAGTTAGCATATTTAGAAGTTTTTACAAAGTAGAAGTGATGCAAGGAGGGAAGAGTTTTATGGAGAAAAAAAGAGAGAAGTTAAGAGAGTGGTTGAAGCAATGTAAAAAGAGAGCAAATGAGAGAGTGGGTGAGATGTTATCAACAAATTTTGTTGAAAATAGAAAAGTTTTGGGTGAGATTAACAAGTTAGAAAGCCCAGAGAACAAAAGGATTTGTCAGTTAAAAATAGGAGAGGAGAGTTATTAAATGGAGAGGGTTTGAGGTATTGGGAAGATGGAAGGAATATTTTGAGGAATTGTTAAATGTTGATGAAGTAGGGAAGCTGTGATTTCGTGTATAGGGCAAGGAGGAATAAATCTTGTAGGAGTGAGGAAGAGCCAGTTGTGAGTGTGGGGAAGTTCGTGAGGCAGTAGGTAAAATGAAAGGGGGGGTAAGGCACCCGGGGAAATTGATGGGATAAAGATAGAAATGTTAAAAGCAGGTGGGGATATAGTTTTGGAGTGGTTGGTGAAAATTATTTTAATAATGTATGGAAGAGGGAAAGGTACCTAGGGATTGGCAGAGAGCATGCATAGTTCCTTTGTATAAAGGCAAAGGGGAAAAAAGAGAGTGAAAAAATTATAGGGGGATAAGTCTGTTGAGTGTTTCCCTGGTAAAGTGTATGGTAGATTTATAATTGAAAGAATTAAGAGTAAGACGGAGAATGGGATAGCAGATGAACAAGGAGGCTTTAGGAAAAGGGTAGGGGGTGTGTGGGACCAGGTGTTTAACAGTGAAACATATAAGTGAACAGTATTTAGATAAGGCTAAAAGGTCTTTGTGGCATTTTGGATTTGGAAAGGCGTATGACAGGGTGGATAGGGGGGCAATGTGGCAGATGTTGGCAAGTGTATGGTGTAGGAGGTAGGTTACTGAAAGCAGTGAGAGTTTTTACGAGGATAGTGAGGCTCAAGTTAGAGTATGTAGGAAAGAGGGAAATTTTTTTTTTCCCAGTAAAAGTAGGCCTTAGACAAGGATGTGTGATGTTTACCCTGGTTGTTTAATATATTTATAGATGGGGTTGTAAGAAAGTAAATGCGAGGGTCTTGGCAAGAGGCGTGGAGTTAAAAGATAAAGAATCACACACAAAGTGGGAGTTGTCACAGCTGCTCTTTGCTGATGACACTGTGCTCTTGGGAGATTCGAAGAGAAGTTGCAGAGATTGGTGGATTGAATTTGGTAGGGTGTCAAAAGAAAAATTAAAGGTGAATACAGGAAAGAGTAAGGGTTTTGAGGATAACAAAAAGATTAGGTGATGAAAGATTGAATATCAGATTGAAGGGGGGAGAGTATGGAGGAGGTGAACATATTCAGATATTTGGGAGTGGGAGTGTCAGCGGATGGGTCTATAAAAAGATGAGGTGAATCATAGAATTGATGAGGGAAAAAGAGTGAGTGGTGCACTTTGGAGTCTGTGGAGACAAAGAACTTTGTCCTTGGAGGCAAAGAGGGGAATGTATGAGAGTATAGTTTTACCAACGCTCTTATATGGGTGTGAAGCGTGGGTGATGAATGTTGCAGCGAGGAGAAGGCTGGAGGCAGTGGAGATGTCATGTCTGAGGGCAATGTGTGGTGTGAATATAATGCAAAAGAATTCGTAGTTTGGAAGTTAGGAGGAGGTGCGGGATTACCAAAACTGTTTTTCCAGAGGGCTGAGGAAGGGGTTTTTGAGGTGGTTTCGGACATGTAGAGAGAATGGAGCGAAACAGAATGACTTCAAGAGTGTATCAGTCTGTAGTGGAAGGAAGGCGGGGGGAGGGGTCGGCCCAGGAAGGGTTGGAGGGAGGGGGTAAAGGAGGTTTTGTGGGGCGAGGGGCTTGGACTTCCAGCAGGCATGCGGAGCGTGTTTGATAGGAGTGAATGGAGACAAATGGTTTTTAATACTTGACGTGCTGTTTTGGGGTGTGAGCAAAGTAACATTTATGAAGGGGTTCAGGGAAAACCCGGCAGGCCGGACTTGAGTCCTGGAGATGGGAAGGTTCAGTGCCTGCACCTCTGAAGGAGGGGTTGTTAAATGTTGCAGTTAAAAACGTAGTGTAAAGCACCCTTCTGGCAAGACAGGATGGAGTGAATGATGGTGAAAGTTCTTCTTTTCGGGCCACCCGCCTTGGTGGGAATCGGCCGGTGTGATAAAAAAAAAAAAAAAAAAAAAAAAAAAATATATATAATATATAATTATATAAATA